CAGCATTGAATCTTCAGCTTCAGATTCGGCCAAATCGAATTGGGGACAGTGATCCAAATCAACAAATCGAATCTCTGTCCCCGATTCAGGCTGAATCCAAATCGAATACAGCCTACTTTGCACACCGCTACCAGCTACCTCTTCCAATTCTCACTTTCCAATGTGTTTTAAAAGTAGTTTAGCAGGAATGTATATGGTCACTATCATAAATACCTGGCACTAGCAATTTCTTCATTTGTAACACTATACATGAAGATTTAAAAATGCAAAAACATAGAAAAACTGAATAGCCAGGAACCCTAGACTATACACATTTCTATTTTTGCTCAGTAAGTTACAACAGGAATTTTAAGACAATATTTTCAAAACTGGTTCACCATTTATATGCACAAAACCAAACGTTTATATTCATCAGATAGGAAAATGTGTGCATGGGAGGAAAGGGTAGCTGGCAAAAATTACCAGTTTGTTAATACCAGTTTTAGTGTTGAACTATCATTGTAAAACATGGCCACATGTATCAGGTCTCATTATTTACTACAATTAATTAAAGCAATATGCTATTTTTAAAGCAATATGCCATTTTCTACTTTCAAAACAAAGTATTACTTCAGAGGGTGAATATAATAAGCAAATCTAACTATGGGCAGCTTCTACAAGATCTTATTTTGCTGTTCCATGGAAACCATATTTCATAAAAACATATTTAACACCTTCAGATGACCTCTAACCAGAAATGCATTATGCTATTCAAATTCTGTCACATGCAGTAAAAAAATAAGTAAATAAAAATGCCATTAAAAGGAGAAGTTATCTTACTTGGACAAGTTCTAGCATTTTATTTTCTGACAGCTCCCAATTTGGACATCTTCCAATGTCAATAAAACTTGTTCAAGCAGAACCTTACCTGGTTTTCACAACATCAAGTGGATGCATCAGGCAAATTTCTACAAGACCTGTAAGATGATAAAGAAGAGAGGCCTTGTAAATATTTGTGCAAAGAGCAGTTTATGTTTCACTGACTGCAATGGTTTTCTAAGTCTGACTGTTATAAAAGAAAGCTGTGTACAATTAAGAAAACTGAACTGAAGGCTGCCAGTAAATTACAAAAACATGTACAATATAGTAAAGATACTCTTATTAAGTGTAGCTTATTTGGCTTTTGGGGGGGGAATATTTAAGAAAATGTACGCTCTTTATTCTCAAATTTCTAAATGGATTAATCTTGAATTGCTACTCTATAGCTAGAAAAGATACACAAAAAATTGTAAGAGTCAAGAATTATTAGTAGAATCAATGTCTTGATGTATTACTCTCAGACCAAAATTATTGTCTGGCAATAGTTTTAATTATTTGTAAAATGCAAAATATGTATTAAATTATTTTTTCTGCCCCATTTGAGCAACATAATGGAGCATTTAGATTAGACAGCAGAGCAGAGATATTGTTAGCAGTCAGCACATATAAAGGGACATATAAGCTTATGTGGAGAAGAAAGCTAGTTTCAGCTCAGCAGGGGCCCACATAGTCATTCATGAGCTGATGCAATTATTGACTCTTAAAGTGCACTATTATTTTCTACATGTTGTGTTGTACTTTACTCTTCTAACACACTTCAGAGATCCTTAGCATCTGCTGGCCTTTTTTTAAGTTCAACTATTCCCTGCCCATTTATATGTGCACCTCCATTCCACACACACTAAGAAAGCAGAAACAATAATGTAAAAAGGAAAAAGAAAATCAGGCAAGAAACCACCATACTGATCTGATCATAGTAAAAGTGCATTGTTGAAATTTGAGATGTGTCAGCCTGGGGGGGTTGATAACAAACTACACAGTGCAAAATCTGTTTTAAAATTAAAAATATATATATAGCTAGAGGGGTGGGAGTGGGCAGGGGGAGAAGGAGAAGAAGTGCATTTATGTGTGCAATATAAAGACTACCACTGATGTCACCACATGGCTGAAAAGTCAAGCCCACAGGAGTCAGAATACTCAAACACAGAGCTTTTTGCAGCAATGGGAAATCTGTTGCATTATCACATCAACAGATACCTGTGCCAGTGCATAGGTTTCCCTGTATACAGCAGAGATCCTCAAGGATCTAAGTTTTTATCCATCATTGGCCATGTACAGACATTCAGTTTCTCCTGAGAGAGTCAGTGCTCTTCCAAGAGAAACCACAAGTGTACAGATATCCAATATTTTTCTTCCAGAGCAAAAATGGTCACTCTGGGAGAAAAATAGCCCAGAAACAACCATGGCTAAAACACTCCTAGGAGAGTGGATCTCTGTACATGTTCTCTTCTGAGAGAAGTCAAAGCACAATTCTCCAGCATCCCTGGCTGTTTTGCTCCCACCACACCCCAGGGACACAAAGCATTGCTTACTGGACTGGACTGCTCCAGCCAAGCAGGCAACAGAACGCACCCCTTTAACGTTGTTCCACAAGGAGGGAGCCTGCAGAGCATGCTGAGATGTGTAAATAGGGTTTCTCTGGCTTTACAGGATCAGCACTACAAGCTTTCTGCTCTTCAGGGGCTCAGTACCTGTCCAGGCATCCCCAGGTAACTTTTTTCTACCAGAAGAACAAACCCAGGAGAATTCTCCTAGATCACTTGAACATGTATACGCAGCCAGTCACTCTAAAAACTGTTTTGTTTTTTTTAACTTCAAACATTTCTAATGACTAAATTACAAAATTTCAAGCAGGAGGAAAAGTCTATTTTTTCACATTTACAAAAGAAAAAAATGGACAAAAAATTAAAATATTTTACAGCTAATAAACTAGATTTTGTGGAGATGTTTGATGTTTATTAGATTCTTTTGCAAAAAGCTGCATGTTTTATATTATTCTAGGGCTGTCAAATGATTTAAAAAATTGATGTCAATTAGTTCTGTGGTTAAAAAATAGTTGCAATTAATTGAAATTAGTTGCAATATTTTAATCACACAGCTAAAAACTCAAAATTATGTTCAGAAAAACTCAAAATTATGCAAAATTATACAAGTACTTTGTATGGTTGGGGGTGTGTGTGTGGGGGGGTTTGGAGCCCAGGGAGGGAGTTCCCCGCATACCCTTGCAGGGTGCAGGGTAGTGTGGTTCAGGAGTGAGGGACAGAAGCAGGGCTGGGGATGGGGCTGTGGCTTGGGCATATCACTGCCCCCCCCCAATCATATTACCCCCCCACACCTGGTGTCCTCTTTTTTGAAACTTTTGAAACTGGAAATATGGTAACCCTACAGAAATGGAACCCGGCAGCATGTAGACCAGTACCCAGCAGTAAAGTCTGTGGAGGGGAAGGGGTAGGGAGAGAGGGAAGGGGATGGGCAGATGAAGGCTCTCACAGTGAGGGAGGGAGTGCGGCAGGGGCTGGGGTGGGGGCAGAGGCTGAGGTGGTCATGGGAGGGAGCTGCAGGAGGCTCATCCAGGGCTGCAGGGGGTGTGGCTCTCCATTGCTCAGTGACATACTGATGGGGGGGCAGTACGGGACCATGGCCCCTGGGCACCGGCCTCAGAGGGGGGTGCCAGCTGGAGAGCCTCCTGCATTTTGTGTGTGATCCACCCTCCTGCCCAGCAGGTTGTGACTCTCTTTGGCCATTCCAGCTGAAAATTCTGGCTGCCGCCCTCCCCCCGCAGCTGGTGTGCCATGCTGCTAATTCCCTCATGGAAGTGCCATGGGGCGGGAGGCGGGGTTTCACACAGGATGATTTGCCTCAGGCCTCGCACTCTGCTTGGATCATCCCAGGGTGGGGGTTGCAAATGTAGGCACTAGCCAGGTACTGGAGACCCACAGGAAACGACCGCTGCTGCTGCACATACCCCTGAGGGAAGCATAGGGTGCAATAATGTGCATGGGGTGGAGGCAGGATGCCTGCTGCAGGCTGGGACTCTACACCCTGCTGCCTTTGCCCCAGGAGCCATGTGCTGGCCATGCGTCCCCTGCCCACGCAGTGGTGGGAGGCACAACATGGCATCACACAGCTCCTGGGGCAAAGCCAGCAGGGCACAGAGCCCCAGCCCACAGTGGACAGCCTTCCTCTGCCCTGTGCACAAATCCAGGGAGCACATGATCCCTATGCCCCCCTCGGTGGTGCACACAGTGGTTGGGAACTGCACTCCCCCCTGCGCCCCTGGATGAGCTGTCCATGACTCCATGACCTACCCCAGCCCTGGGGTCCCATTCACCCAAGCCCATGCTCCTGCTCCACTCCTTCCCTCACTGTAGGGAACCTGATCTGCCCCTTCCTGCTCCCTCCCTCTCTTCCCATACCTTCCCCTCCACAGACTTATCTGTTGGGTGCTGCTCTACATGCAGTTGGGCTGCATTCCTGGCCATGTGCATGCTGGGGCTGCTCATGTGTGTCTGTGTCTGTGCTTGCAACCCCTCCCTCACCTGCTTGATGCAGAAGCCTGGAGCCTGTGCTCGGGCTGCCCTGTGGTCATCTGCACTGCCACTGCTACCCCAATGGGCAACCTGGAGACTTCACTGATGGCAGCAGAGTGAGGCAAGAACCAATTAATGCATTAATTGTACATGTTAATGGCAATCAATTGAGAGTCCTAATACTTTTGTTTAAATAGAGCAATTGCTCTCTGTTTGGATATACAACACTATTTGCTGTAATCCTGTAGCATAAACTTTTTCACAAACTTATCACTAAACAAAATAACTCAGAGCACCTGTCTTATACATTGCTGTTAAGATATCTAAATTCCTATACCTACATCAATTTTTTGGACACACTGGGTGCATCTACATGTGCATCCAACTGTGCACTTGTTACTTGCTTTAGCTAAATGACTGCACAGTAACTACCATTACTATGCTGAGGTAGCATCTTGTGTAGATGCGCTCACTGAGAAAACAAAGCTTCATCACCTCTCAAGTATTATAATATTTGCAAAGTTTATAGAATGTACAGCACTAATTAGAGAGCCTTTTATTCCAAACCCATCACTACTGCCTCCAAATACTTTTGTTAATATTCTGTTATTATTTTACTTCCCTTCCCTGCCTTTTCAGGAGTGTAGAAAAGGGAGTAAATCTATAGAGAAAAATCCTAGAATATTAATATATACTGCAGGGACATGCATTTAGAGTAAAAGCAGTTTAATAGTGTTTTAAATCATAATTTTCCAGAAAGAAAGAATTGCACTGTTATCATTCCTAAATAGGTTAGCTCATTTTGATTCTATATTTCACTCCCATACTTACTGTAATTCTCATAGCTCATGTAAGGCTTGTATTTTACTGAAATAAGGACTAAATCACACATCAGACAGGGAAACATAGAACCCAAGTTTTTGTTTCCTGAATCTGTCCCAAAACATATAAATTTCTCCACAGCTGCCAACAGGTGCTTTACAAGTGGAACTGCAGTGGAGTGTTCCAGCATTGGCAGGGGGCATGGTCTGCAAATTTTCCTGTCTAACATTTCCCCAAAGTTTTTGATCTTCCAATTCCATCTTGTTCTGGCAACAAAAATGAGTGGTAGGGGGCCAAGCTTGGGGCCAGGGATTTGTTCCCCTATTCTGTTTTTGTAGCATTAATGTCCATTTTGGGAGAAAACTGTACAGTGCCAGAATTCAACTCTAATTTCTTGGTCCTCATAGGACAATTTTTAATTCAGGCATTTTTCCAGCAATTGAGTCACATGAATTCCAAGTTCTTTGGCATGAAATATGTTTTGATAACTTCAAGATTCTATTAGCTATCTGCCTTTCTCAAAGGATAAAAATCTTTCCTTTGTTCTCACCAGTCAATTATGTTCTAGGTTTTAAACAGTGCATAGTTACTCAATTTTACCAGACAGCTCTCTGGAAAATATCTAGGGATTGTAACATAGTTTTCTAAAATGCACCACAAAGAGCAAACTGTGCAAGATACTAATGGAACAGCTACAAACACAAGTTATATTTTTCCATCTACTATAGTAGTCATGCAAATCGTTA